TAAGTAGGTGGTAAAAGCTCCTTCACTGGAGGTTTTCAGAAGGAGGCTGGATACTTATTTGTCATGGATGGTTTAGACACAACAAATCCTGCATTTTCACAGGGGGTTAGAGTAGATAATCATTGCGATCCCCTGTAACCCTGTGATTCTGCGGTGCTTCACTTCCACCATAGGCTGCCAAGTCATTCCCACAGCAGTAAATGGCACACTGGAAGTTCTTCACTCTGAAGGTGACAGGAAATTTTGGCCCTCCTATAGTTTTTTTCAAGAGAAGAATAATGGGATCTTATGTGTTAAGATGGGTCATAAAAACATGTGTATAAATCAAATCTTTGATTTGATCAAACACAATGAGGATATGTACATTTCTGATTATAAGACTTTTTCCTGAAGAGGGGTTAAATGAAGGTATTTGTAATTATCCTGCCTGACATAGGGGGAAAGACTTCTGTGCATAATGATATTCTCAATCATTCTGAGAAAGATATAAATATCTACTCATCGAGGGTAAAATTTTCAAAAGTGCCCAAGTAACTAGGAGCCTAAATCCCCTGAAAACCAACTGGACTCAAGACTCTCAAGTTGATTTTTAGTGGTTTCTAAATCATGAGGCATCCTTGAAAATTTTACCACACTAATCCAGTGTCTGGAGCCTTAATCCCACCTGTCCGCCAAGAACTTTAGACTTTTTTGTTTCTTGGAAAAGAAATTCAATGAAATTCACTCTGCTATCTGGAAAGTCTCCTGCCAGACAGGTGGAATTCTTAGGGTTCGGAGCTGTACGTGTTTAACATTCTGTATAGTGTATATTTTGATGCCTTTGTAATTAAAAATAAATTAAGTTTAATGACCCTCTCGTATAAACCCAGACTGCTGCAGTGCAGATATAGGAAAGTGAGGAAAGACAATGCCAGGTGCAGCCAGCACACTGGCGCAGCCACACAACATGTCATTTTTATAAACATTATTCAAATTAGCTTCATCTCTCGTAATGCTGTTGTTTCTTTATTGCAGTTGTAAAATAAATGGTTCTTTTATACAAATGTTATCTCCTACCTATTAATTCAGTTTTAGATTATGGCGCAACTGTTCAATTTAAAGATGTAAAGCCTCATAAATATTTAGAAGTTTAAGATTGACAAAGGAAGACATTTCCTTTGATTTGCTTTTATTAATATATTGCGGGTCAGTTGTTATAGATTTATTACATATCATTGCCAAAGAGAGAAAAAATGATGGGTATATTTGTGCTACATCAAATATCTCCCTTTGAATTAGAGTTGGCTGGACAATGCATCTTTCCTGTGAAAAATTTAAAACATATACCCTCACCCCACCCAGTTATCTGAAAATTTTCCACTGAGGTGGGTTTTTTTTTTTTTTTTGGCTTTTCAACAAAAAACCCAAGAAGTGAAGACAAAGAATTTGGTTTTGTCACATTTTTTGGTGAAAAAATTTGAGCCAGCTCTACTGCTAACATGGCTCTTTTGTTGCCAGCACTCTTGAAGTTCGTGCCAATAAACTTCCTTATAACATTCAGCTAAAAAAGGCCCAGATATATTGCTCCCAGCAACATTTTGCAGAGAGTGCATTTATCACAAATAATGAATGTATTAATGGGGAAATGAAACTCCACGTACATTGCAAACAGCCTGATGAAGCTTTGAAGAGTCAGTGAACCATGAGAAACTTCACAGTTGTCTATTAGCCCTTTGAAACTCAACACAGCAGAGACTTAGCAGTTATGATACAATTTCACATCCACAGACACAAGGTGGATGAGGTAGTTTCTTTTATTGGAACAGTTCTGTTGGTGAGAGAGACAAGCTTTCAGAAGCAACAGAAGTTGGTCCAATAAAAATTATTACCTCACCCACCTTATTTCTCCAAAATTCTGGGACATAGATTGCTACAGCAACACAATATTTCACATCTACAGCATCTTATAATAAAAATTGTCATTTTCTCTACCTTAAAAAATTATTTTAATGCTCATTAGCCAAATCATAAGAGATGTCAAGCATCTGTAAATGTAATTGATATAAAATGAGAAATGTTCAGAAGCTTTCAAGATTTGCCCTTATGGAAAATGATAAACCAGTGGTGGGCAACCTACAACCCCTTGAGGTTACGTGTGTGGCTCATGAGACATTTTGTTTACCATTGCCCACATGCAGAGCTGTCAGATTCCGCTGGTTTCCATCCACGTAGTTTTTTCGTACCGGTATTACTAAAGCGACATGCACATAAAGCAAGGGCATGTGAAGTGGTGTGCTGTCGGCACGCACCTAACACTGACTGCAAGAGCCATTTGCTCCCCGTGTGTTCAATCCAAGTGTTGCCACGGTTCAATCAGCACACTCCGCAAATTCTAGGTGTGCACGTGAAGTTAGCAAAACTACTCTATCCTGAAAGACCATCTTGGTTAAATCAATCTTGTGGTCCATTGAGATAAAGGCAACCCACTCCTGCCACCCACTCTCTAGTCTAGGTTGCCTGTCACTGAACTAAGCTGATGAAAATCTGAAGTCCTGTAATTCTAGAGCAGAAATAGTTTGGGCAATAGGAAAGCCAGCTGCCCCACACATATCCTGTAAAAGTTCAGCCAGGTTGTATAAAGAGTCTAGGATTTAGATGATTGATCAGTTTTCTCTTGGAAATTCAGTTCTAAGCTGATTAAACCATTTCAGCTAGCGTTGGTCATGGCGATTTTTTGTGCTGCTGGCTCCCCTCCAGTAACATTTTATTTTAGTTGGCCATTAATCAGTCACTAACATTCTAAACTTTCTACTGTATTGCGGCAAGTTCACACCTCTCATATTACATGGTGTGGCTAAGCTTGAGCCTAATGTAAAATTATTGGGCTTAAGAAAAAGTGTGCAAATGTGTGTGTGTGTGTGTGTGTGTGTGTGTGTGTGTGTGTGTATAACACTCCAGGTTTCTGACCAATATGTTTTCAAAAATGAAGATGTAAGATAGAAACATTCACTTTTTTTTAAATCACCAAAAAATTGGACTGCGTAGGCAAATCAGATATTTGTGTGCAAATGAATAATCACCTGCCACTCTAGCTTTATCCATATATATATATATATA